TGACCCTGGGGATAGGAAGGTGGGCTCAGCAGGTGGCCGATGGCCTTGGGTGGCCCGGCCAGGCTGCAGAGGTGGGCAGGGGGAGGGCCGCTCTACACCTATGCTGTGCTTACAGAACTGAAGGTCTCTGGTCCTGTGTTTTCAGGAAACCTGAAGAGTTGGCAGCAGCCGAGAGTCTGACCACAGACGGGGACAAAAGGCAGGCGTGAAAGCTAAGGCGAGAATGAAAGTGAACATGCCGTCTGCTCAGTGGAAGCCCGTTTCTGATGTCCCCTCAGCAGGCAGCTGTCCTGGGGACAGAAGGTATTACAATCTATTTTCAGTTTAGAAATAGGAAGAAATCCAAATCTGCCCAGAAGAAGTTTCTTCTAAGGGAGGAGAATTTCACAATTATTACCTAAGTTTCAAAACATGACATTTTCATTAAGATAAGGGAAGATTTCACTGCCATCCTCTTTCAGAAGCCAAGGCGGGTTATTTAAGGAGCTTGCACTTCCGTCCTAGTTGGATCCTGTCTGGAAACGGGAAAGGGAAGGGGGCGGGCTCTACGCCAAGGATGTCTTTGGGTGACGAGACACTGAAGTTCAATGGCAATGAGCTAATTTGCAAAGCAGTTCAGGGCCAAAATCACAGAGCCCAGCTGACCTGCCAGGGCACGTGACAAGACTGTGCTCTGTGACTTGGGCTTGAACCTGCCTTGTTCACAGAATGGCACTCGTGTACCACCTTACTTAAGCTTAATCTGGGATTGTTGGGGTCGGTGCTGTGGTATAGCATGCATAGCTGCTACCTGCAATGCTGGCATCCCATAGGGCACTGGTTTGTGTTCTGGCCACTTCACTATCAATCCAGCTCTCTGCTAATGTGTCTAGGAAAGGACTAGAAGATGGCCCAAGTGTTTGGGCCCACATGGGAGACAGGGAGGAAGCTCCCCAATCATTGCAGCCACTTGGTGAGTTCTCTCTTACTGTAACTCTGCCTTTCAAATACTTAAACTACATTTTTAGACCCAGTTGGATTCCTCTGCATTTAAAAAAAATATTCAGCTCCAAAACCAATCATCCTCAAACAAGAGACTAAATAGGATCAATTTCACTGAACAAGTAAGTTACTTTCTTCCTGTTCTATTTAGTAGCATTTGGAAGAATTATGGGGACAGCGCTGTAGGATGGTAGGTTAAGCCTCTACCTGCAGCATGGCATAGCCTATGGGTGCCAGTCCAAGTCCTGGCTGTTCCACTTCCTATCCAGCTCCCTGCCTATGGCCTGGGACAGCAGTAGAGGATGGCCCAAGTCCTTGGGACCCTGTACCCACAAGGCAGACATGCAAGAAGCTCCTGGCTCCTGGCTTCGGATCTGGCCATCAGGGGCCATTTGAGGAATGAACCAGTGAATGGAAGATCTGTCTTTCTTTCTCTGTGCCTTAAAATATATATGTATGTGTGTGTGTGTGTGTGTGTGTACACATACACACAACTGAATCCTGGCTTTATCCCAACAGCAGTGAAAGCCCACAGGGAAGTACTTGCATCAGGGAGCCAGAGTTCCCATTCCGGTGCCTTGCTGGCATCTTGGCTTCATATTCAGCCTCACAGGAAGAGGATGGCAGGGAAGGGGGGAGGGAAGGAGGAGGAGGGAGGGCCGTCACCACGGGGCATGATTCTCTGCTCATGGGGGCAGGTGTCTGTGTGTCCCCAGGAAAGAGCCTGCTGTTTTCGAGGAGACATAGCTCTATATAGCCTGATCCCCTGGTGGGTAAAGTAAGTGGCCCAGACATTTCCGCTTCCACTGCCTATGCTGGTGCAAGCTGACTGCCATCCAAGGGTTGCCATTTCTGTTTTAATGCATTTTTAATAGCCACAAATCTTTGGCTCTTGGCAGGGATGGGTCCTGACCACTCTTTGTGAGAGGCACAGGAAACAGAATGTTTGCTAGATCAGGACATGGAGGAGTCACAGAGGGAGGACGCTGGTTTTGTTTGGTGTCTTATCTCAGGGTGCAGGATCTGTTTCAGATAGTTCCCGCAGGGCCAAATGATGGGCTCTGAGCCACTGCCCACGGTCCCAGGACAGTATTTAGCAGGGCAGAGAAGAAAGCAGTCTCAGGTAATGCCATGCAGTTAAGGGTAAGGATAGTCCTACTGTACTTCGACTAATAAGACTCTGACAGTCACAGCTTTTAATGCACAAAAATTGTCTTCGAAGTCACCATTATCATCCCCCAGTACATCTACGTTCCTATTGGAAGTGCTACCAGCACTTCTCTGGTATGGGCTGAAGGTCATGTTGTCTGTGACTGAATTTATTAAAAGGGCATTTTTTGGTTTGGGGCATGAAGGATGGGGGAGAGGGAGAGGCAGGTCTGGCTGGTGTCTCAGCTTTTGCAGGTTCTTGCTGTGTCAATGTGAGCATGCTGTTGATCTCTCTGGGCTGGGCTTTTGCAGCTCTGAAGCAAAAATACAGCCATTTTGCTGGGTTCATGCTAACACGACAGGTGACAGGAGCAAAAATCACGAGAGGCAGTAGGGCACAGAGGCAGGGCAGTTCCATGCCTGCTACGTCTGGTTCACACCTGGGCTGGCACCTCTTGGTACTCAGAGAGAAGGACTGATTCTCTTAAAGCTTTGGGGGATGGCGAGACTACCTGCTCTGGAGGTCCTGCTGACCAAGGCATCTGGCACACTGTGGGTAGGGCTGTCCCCCGTCTCCATGGGGCTTGCTTCCAGAGCCAAATGCATGGATGTTCACATTTCTCATATAAAATAGCTCATCTTTTAGCACAGTCTCTGTATGCTTTCAATGACCTCCGGATTACTTACAATACTGAATGCACAATGCTTGTGTATTACTTCATTCTCATTGACCTCATATTGTGCTCAGGACATGGTAAATGGAAGTTTTTGCTTTTTAGAACCTTCCAGAATTTTTTCCCCAAAATAATTCAGATACGGTTGGCCAAGTCCTTGGAAGTGGAAACTCTGAATACTGAAGGCTAACTCTAATTATCACAGGCCAGTGTCCTAACTTGCAGGAGCCTGCTCAGTCTTTACACAGGACAGATATCTTAACGATTAAAATAAGTAAGCAATTAAACAAAAGGCAGTGATACACCTCTGGGCATTACTTATGTCTCAGCGGCAATAACTAAGGTATAATCAGGCTCATATCACCTACTTCGAGAACAAATGAGAATTGATCAAATACCATCCAAGAGAGGAGAGAAATTTTTGTGGAGTAAAAGGACAAATGCGAGAAATTGAGCATAATGGGTTCTTGACATGAAGAGATCTATTAGTTAGGACAAAGGTCAAGTTTTGGTTTAAGAGGAATGATACTCTTATTTTCCCAAGGCTTAGCTAAGAAATTCAAGACATTTGCAGCACACAAAGTCATTTGAAAAGACCAAACTAACAGTTTTCAAAGCTCAAGTTTATGGATTTCTGTGCTAACATCCTTTTTTCATTTTCTTTTTCAGAAACAATGAAGAGGCAACCACATGGATATGGCTGAAGTTTAGGACAGCTCCCAGCTCTCAGCAGCCACCACACAAACACATATGCAGCACTAACAGTTCCACACCTTGCTTTCAAATAACTCAAGTGGCTGTTTCACTTCCTTGTTGTAATCTGGGTCTTTTACTGTCTTAGAAAGAAATCCCACGTTGACTGCTGGTAGTGAGGTCAGTGAGTGTGAGAACCCAGCATGGCTGGCTTAGGGCCCTAGCCCAGGAATGGCTGGAGCGCAAGTTCATCTGGGAGGCCTACACTACGCTGGCTGGAAGGAGGGGGCTGGGCTAGGGCTGCGGACCAGGAGTTGGAGGTGTTGTAAGAAGGGATGTGTCTGGGAACCTGGGAGGACATGTTTGATATATGGGGTGGCAAAGGCAGCTGAAGCCTGTCACTTCTGCTTGGGGGCTTTTCAGGGAGTGTGGCCACTCCTCTCTGTCATGAGCAGGTAGGATGGTAGCCATCAGGTGTGGCTGCAACTGAAGGGTGGATACGAATAAGACCGGGAGTCTCCACGCAGGGCTGTCTAATTCAGATGAGACCCCACCTCTCCAACATCAAACATCAAGACTTGTCGAATGGGAAGATTTCTGTTGTCCTGTCCTTCTCACAACTCCTGGGGCTATCTGGGCTACAGAATTGGTCCTGTGTCTGTGTGCTTCTCCAATGGCAGGAGGTCTCAGCATATTCTTCATGCCATGTTGAGTGTCTGCCCCACAAGATAGGGAAGTCCCAACTTTGGAACAGCTTCTTTGCAGTGTCCTCAAACGGAGATGACACTAACAGCCTGGGCTCAAGCCCAATATGAACAGGAGGCCACAAGAAGACAGAGGCACAGGGAGGACCACAAAACCAGAGGTTGTCTTGAGGTACCTGCAAGCTGGGGATGCTATGCAGAGGCCAGGACACATCCTCCCCAGAGTTCCAGAGGGAACACAGCCCAGCCAATACCTTGACTTTGGATTTCTGGCCTTCAGAACTACAAGAGAGCAAATTTTGAAGTCGCTTGGTTGATGAGACTTTAGGGGGGGGGGCCCAGGAAAGCAACACACTTAAATTCCTTTTTCACACATATGGTAGGAAGGAAGGACGTGACTCTTTAGAAATTAAGAGCAGATACTGGCTTTAATTCTGGAAGAAGAAAAATTACTAGTTCCTTTGTCACGTCCAGAGCCATTTTAAATCAATTTATATCCCAAGATGATGTGATGTGACTTTCCTCTGGTCTCAAGTTCAGGCACACTGAGAGTCTTTGCACGGACTACCTGACTGCACGTCCTGGGAGAAGACCCCAAAGTAAGGGCAGTCATATGGCAGGAATACACGACAGCCAAAGGACGAAATTACGTGGCAGATCACTTTTGCAGTAAAGACCAGAAAAACAACAGAACAAAAAAAGGTTTGAATTGGGGGCAAAAAAAAAAAAAAGAAGAAGAAAAGAAACAGTAAAAGCCACAGCTTACCTGCTGCACTAGGTCCCGCGAGAGTCCTGTCCGCTCAGAACAAACCTTTCACTTGCTCTGTTTCCGTATCAAGATCGATGTCATAGAAGCAGGGCCGAGTGGGCAGCCCCGGCATGGTGCTCATCTGGGCAAGAGAACCAAGCAACAGATGTCGGTAATACTGCTAATACGACAATTATGCTAATAAACATTATTAAATAGCTTAAATGTATTATGCCAGTAATTAGTAAATAATATACAATTATGCTAAGTAAGGATAAATAATACAGAAAGCATTCTTGTAAATACTAGTAAGCAATATAAAAATACTGTTAGTATATATTAGTAGAGGATATAAAGTATGACATGTCCAGTATTCACAGTGATTACAGGCTGTCTATGATGCAAATGGATCCTACAGCTCAATCAGCCTCATGTAACTTGAGGAAATAGATCTATATCTCTTTAAATTTATCATCTGTGCTATTCAATGAAATGAAATAGAAAAGGCAAATATCAGCCTCTTAGAAATCCAGAGCACTACCTTCTGCCGTGGTCTCCCAACATCCTACAGACACATAGCAGTTCTTCCAAATAAAGAAATCATGGTGAACCCTAGCAAAGATGAGCCCTCGCACTGAAGAGGCATGTGGATAGGACCTGTTCCTTTGGTGTTTGCTTCACTTATTTGAAAGAATCATGGAGAAAGAGAGAAATCTTCCACTGGTTCACTTCTCCAACAGCCACAATGGTTAGGGCTGCGTCAGGCTGAAGCCAGGAGCATCCTCTGGGTCTCCCACGTGGGTAGCATGGGTTCAAGTACTTGCAGTGTCTTCCTCTGCTCTCCCAGGTGCATTAGCAGGGAGCTAGATCAGAACTCCCATTCTGACACCAAGCACCCCAGCCAAAGGGTATGGCCTGAGAACCTGTTCATTCCTTTTCGCTTTCAAAAGATTTACTTATTTGAAAGACAGAGTGAAACATATAGAGAAAAATTTCCATCTGCTGGTTCACTGCCCAAATGCCTGTGTCAGCTGCTTCTGGGACAGGTCAAAGCCAGGACCTGGAACTCCACCTCGGTCTCCCACTAGGGTGGCAAGGGCCCAGGCACCTTGGTCATCTTCCACTGTCACCCTAACAGATCCAGGTGGAGTTCCAGGCTCCTGGCTTTGGCCTCAGCCAGTTCAGGCTGTTGCTGGCATATTAGGAGGGACTTAGCAGTAGAGACGCTGAGACTCTAACTGTTGCTTATATGGGATGTTGGTTGTTGCAGGCAAAGGCGTCTCAACATGCAATTACCAACACTGGCCTTGTTCTGGATGTTTTGTATATTTTATCTTCTCAATAACCCTCTGAAGCTGATACTTTTATTATTTTCATTTTTACAAAGGAAGGACAGGTTTAGGAGGCATCCCAGTCACTTGACCAAGGACACACAAGTAACAAGTGGCAAATCTGGCTCCAGGCAGTGATGGAGCCTCTCCTCACACCCCTCCCCGTCCCCACCTAGGAGGGGATACAGATTATACAGATAACTCAATCGACTTCCTGGCACTCTACAAGGCAGGTGCTAATTTTAAGACCACTTTACAGCTATGGACAGGGGACATTTAGGTACAAAGGCAGGTGCTCCAGGACAACGCAATCAGTTCTCCTCCACGCCAACTTTTCTTCCCCGCTTTCACGGCGTACACTTCAGCAACCCCTGGGCTTCTCAGAAATCCACAATCTCAGAAACCACCTGCTGGGTCAGAATGTAATGAATACAGCCTGCCACTGGCTGGGAAAGGGAGCCTCCGAAGGTGAGGGGAGAGAAGGCCTGTTGAGTCCCTGAAGTTGGTGCCACTTCCTCTTCCCTGCCCAAGTAGTAGTAAGGGCAGCAAATCCATGCACCTGCAAGCCACATAGACCAATCCCTGCCCGCCTGGATGGGGAAGCTGCAGAAAGGCAGACAGCCATGGCCATTCACATGAAACACTGTGATGGATGGGGCAGGCTGCTCTCTTGCTAATCGCCCAGAACTGTCCTGTGGCTATCTGGTGGGCTCTAATGGCCTTCTGAGGCCTCCAGGGAATAGGGAGAGATGCCTAGGAAAGAATGGATGCTAGATTCCAAGCAAGCAACTTCAACTAGACTTTTGCCCATAGGCGGAGACTTCCTGTGTCTCACCTTCCTGACATCAGCCTTAGCACTCTCCTCTGGCTACTCCAGTGGCCTCATGTCATGACAGAAACCCTACACAGACAGCTTCCACGCTCATTGTGTCAGCCCGAGGGTCACTGGTTGGGAATGTTCACAGGGTGCCGCCAGTTGCCTGGATGACAAATCACACCACCCTCTTCCTGCCAGGCTGTGTTCTGAGATGGGCTACTGTCCACTGGTGGTTTGTCCCTAAAGTGACCAAGCCAAGATCTGGTGCAAGATAATGAGGTTGCAGAAAGACACAGACTTTGTAAAGAATTAGTGTGGAGCTCTGAGGATGGGAAGTGAGGTCACCCTGTGCAGGACCCCTCTGCATCCTGCTGGTTCCCTTGGTGACCTTCTACCATGCCAAGCCATGGCATGGCAGAAGCCAAACCGCCAGGAATGCTGAATTTGGATGGTGAGTCTCAGAGACAGTAAGCTTAGATAAATCCTTTTAATTTTGCCTTCAAAAAAGGATTTATTCTTCTCAAACACACAGTGCTAGAGGGAGAGACAGATTTTCCATCCACTGGTTCACTCCCCACGTGGCTGTAACAGCCACAGCTGAGCCAGGACAAAGGCTCGAACTCCAAGGGTCATCTCTGCTGCTTTCCCAGGCACATTAGAAAGAAGCTGGATTAGAAGCAGAACAGATAGTACTTGACCTGGTGCTCTGAGTCAGCACTGCAAGCAGTGGCTTATTCTGCTGTGTGCCACCACACCAGGCCTAAACCTCTAATATGTATAAAGTGCCCAGTGTCACGTGTTTGGATCCTGCAACAGAAAACAGGTCAATGCAGAGGATATGGATGGCAGAGACGCTGAGACACCTCCGCTGTATGTGCAGAGCAATGGATTTGGCTAAAGGAATATGCATTCTATAGTTTAAGAGAAAGAAATGAGTGATTACATCCGTCCCCTCCCGTAGGTGAGCTCCTGAGGTCAAGGCAGGGAGTGGGGTCTGGGTTCTGTGGCTATTGTTGCTTCTGAGGCTGCAATGGGGTTTCATACCAGGACAAAATGAGTAAGAGGCAGGTGATGTTCAAAGTCACTAGAGAGGACTTCAAATGCCCCGAAGCACACAGAGGCACCCCGAGGGCCGCCAACACAGCCCATGTACCCAGGGCTACCAGTGCAAGATTCCTTCGTAGACGACAGTCACACTGCATGCCTGTTCTACACATTTTTTTAAAGATTTATTTTTATTGGAAGATCAGATATACAGACAGGAGGAGAGACAGAGAGGAAGATCTTTTGTCTAATGATTCACTCCCCAAATGGCCTAAATGGCCAGAGCTAAGTTGGTCCAAAGCCAGGAGCCAGGAGCTACTTCCAGGTCTCCCACGAGGGTGCAGGGTCCCAAGGCTTTAGGCTGTCTTCGACTGCTTTCCCAGGCCACAAGCAGGAAGCTGGGTGGGAAGCGGGGCCGCTGGTATTAGAATCGGTGCCCATATGGGATCCTGACACGTACAAGGCAAGGACTTTTGCTGCTAGGCCACCATGCTGGGCCCCACATTTTTTTTTTTAAAGACACAAACATATAACACTTGGGACCAGTGTTAGTGGTGTAGTAGGTGACACTGATATCCCATGTTGCTGGTTCGATTCCTGGATGCTCTACTCCTGATCTAGCTGCACACAAATACTCCCAGAAGGCTGTGTAAGATGGTTGAAGTACTTGAGCCCCACGTAGAAGACCAGGAGAGATGAGTAAGCTCCTGGCTTTGGTCTGGCCCAGCCAAGCCATAGCAGCCGCTTTGGGGAGCAAAGCAGAGACTGGAAGGACTTTCTCCCTTGCTCTCAGAAATCAATTAATCAATCAATTGATCAATCAATCAATCGCTCAATCTTTAAGTTCAGTAGTCCACATTAGCCTTTAGATGATAAAAGACAAGTGCTGGTCAAGGTAGGACGAGACACTCACGATGCTGGGAGCTGCTCTCCTGCCCATGATGTCACCAAACTAGCAGTTCAAATCAGTTAAGACCTTGCCTGCCAGGAAACGTGCAACATCTTTCCTTTAGTTCCAACTTATTTCTTATAAATGGGAGAAAAATGACTTCATCCAAAGATTCCCATATTCCCAGCCACATCCAAGAATTGCACTGGCTTCTTTAGGCTCAGCAGCAAAAGGCCTGACCCTCACAGAAACCATAGGACCCAGGGACTCTCTGACTTGTGGACAGACAAGCCTCACTCTTAAAGCCCCTCCCGCTGAGCAAACGCAAAGTAGAACTTTGCTCACCAGACTTATAGTTTGTACTGAATTCTCTCTGGATAAAAACTGTGACTGAAGGTCACCAGGCAGTCCTCAGACAGGAGTCAGCAGAGCACACAGGAAGAGAAGGTGCCAGGCTGCCCTGGGTAGCTGACCTCTGGCCACACGCCAGGGTCAGTGGCGACCTCTGTTGACTTTGTCTGTGTGCCCTCTGAGGAGGCCTCCTGTTTAAAATAACCAAGGAGGCACTAAACTCCACTTCCTGTTACGTTAATGGATTCTTTTACCAAACTCAAATCACTGGCCTTTGCCCTTCAGGACCATGAATCTTCCAGATCATTTGGGATTTGGGGTTAACTTGGAGCTTACTGTGAGTTCTTCCGAAAGCCCTCATGGACAGTAAAGACCAGTAAAGAGAAAGTCCTGTGTTGAAAACCAGTCACTGAGAAGTAACAGAGTGTTGCTGGATGAGAACTGTTATTAAAAATGGTCTCATAAAGTACTAGAATTATGACACACAATCCAAAGATATTAAGCACATTGTACTCGTGGAAGTTTATTTTCTATTCCTATTTGAATTCACCACCTTTTCCTATTGAATGAGTCACCCATTTTTATTTTGATTCAGAAAAGAAATGGCACTTAATGCAACTATTTTGTTTCTGTAATTCACAATCCAAAGCAGAAAAAGTCCGTCTGTATGGCTTCCCCTCCCCCTCAACAACCAATTCCTATTATTTTGC